CGAGACATCACAAGTGTGTGAGCAAGGAGGTTAAATTGGTGTGAGCCAGCGAGCCATGACGTCACAACAATAGATACGAGACGTTAACGAGTTATACGAGGTATCGGCTGAGATTTGTGGAATTCAAAAAACAACTATAGGTCTAATAATGAATTATTGTGATGTTAAATAGACAATGTTAGCTATCAATGAGCGACGTTGTTTTTCATTGGGACCTTCGTCCCTTCAAGGCTAGGCCTACCATCCTAGCTAGTCTAGGCCTGGCTAGCGCGACATGCGGACGTTGGTACGAGTAGGTTAGTCTACAAACATCGCCTAAAGTAATTGATATTACCCGGCAGAACGAAAGAAGAAAACTCCGCTTTTCAGTCGTCTTAGGCGCCTGTTTTTTGACAAACAATGACCTTTCAGAGGTCAAATTGCTGTCAAGAATATGAATTGGCTGCTTCGCAGCAAATAGTATACAGTACTGTAGGTCAACAAAAGCTTGTTATTTTTTATTACTCACTGGCACATTTTTATCTTGTTGAACTTTGAACTTATAGAAAATGCTTTTCTTTCCTTTGAGGTCTGTATACATCAACAGCGCATTCAATGGCCAGAAAACCAATATTGTTAAAATAAACTGAGAGCCTAGAAAAAAAAATACAATGTAAACATACAGAAACCTTGGAAAAAAATGAATAAACCTTAGGACACATAGAAAAAATTATTAGATTATCACTGTTTTTCAAAAAAAAAATTTAATTGGAATAATAGAATATTGCTTTTTTTTTTTAATGACGAGGGAGGGACTGTTTTTATTTGGCAAAAATGTTGTAAATATTGTAATCTATTTCCATCCACGAAATTGCATTGTTTTTTTAAGCTGTTGAAATAAATGATGTGGCCAAACAATTTTTTTTTTTCATTCCCGCATCAATATTTCCTAAATTTTCGATGCCGGTGGAAGTGATGATAATCTAACAATGTGCCCTTAAAAACAGATATTGTGTAAAAAACTTACATTTCAAAGCTACAAATACCTTTTCCCTTGACTATGATTCATAGAGGAAATAGCAAGATTACAGCAAGGGCTATTTCTAGATTAAAAGTTCTTTTCAACACAGGAATTTACAAAACAATGGTGATAATTCTGTATGAAAATCCAAAAATACTAATACATGAATTTTTGAACTTATAAAATGAATTATGTAGACCCTGGAATTTTCATAAGCCCTTCAGTACCAAGGGACTGGTAGACACTTGGAGACTGGTATTCTTTCCGGAGAAATGTACTGTGCAGTAGCAGGAGGGAAGGGCTTAGCCCGTCTGGGCCCCTCTATTTCGAATTCCTGGATCAGCCACTACTGTGTTCACACAGCACATGGGATTATAGGCTTCAGATGCCGCAAGACTGCACCACCACTGAAACACACAAGGAGACCAGCGGATTGAATTGAAAGGGGACAAAGGTTATGTAAAGATCTCCAGCATTCAGCGTACACAGAGAGGGGCTACCATGCAGTAAGTTTAGCAAAGTTTCCCAACATCTCACTATTTTACCATTACCATACTACTGTACATTGTAAGATTGCAGTCAGGCAAAAATTAAAAGTACAGCAAAACCTTCCCTTTGTGCAACCTTTATTAAGGGGACACTTTTTGGGGAACACCCCATCCTTAAGGGGGACAATTTCTAAATTTGGTCCCGAAGGTGTCCCTTAATAGAAATTGATTGATTGCTATTAGGGAGTTTTTCAAAGCTTACGAACACGATAACAAATACGGTTTTACGTCATCAAATTTTAAGAAAACACTACAGTAGCTAGCGTATTTGCCACAACGTAGATAATTCATGCTTTTTGCATGAATTAAGGATCATATCACCTCCATAATCATATGGAGCTTGCACAGCATATTGTCAATTTTTGTAAGGTTGCAAAACCTCCCTATTTAAAGTAGTGGACCTTTCCGCTAAGCCCTGCCTCCTTGGGTATTGTTGCTAAGGTCTTGCATGCTTATTAGACATGTGTGCATTCCCAGTGCCATTCTGATTGGTCAGTTAAGATTGATTAACACTTTTGAAAAGGTCAATTTAAATATGACATCAGTTATTCTTACCAAACACAAAGGTCACAAAGTTGCTTCTGCCACACAGCCAATGGCAGGAGAACCAAATCGTTTCCCAGAAATTCTTGGATGATCCCCAGAACTGTTGCAGGTGCCATGTTAAGGAATTGCGCATACATGCTAAGATGATCAACGACGAACCAATCACGATGATGGCGCTCTTAACAGAATCCAACGAACGAGAGAATCCACCAGCCTGTTGGCAGAAAATTATTTATCCCAATTCATAGTTTAAACTACAGTGCATATCCGTATCTAGAGTCAATCAGCATAAACCTATGTTGTATATGTTATGTCGATTGACATTAATATGGGCATATGCAGTTTAAATTGGCGTTCAAATTACGAATTAGCTTATTAGGCAAAAAAAAAAAAAATTGTTTGTTTGCCCTCCGCACCTGCCCCTATCTCACTGGAAAAAATAGGGGCGGAAAAACAAAAAAAAAACTTCAGAAAAGTTTTTTTTTTTTTAGCTTTTTTCTTAACAAATTAAAATAAATATGAGTGAATTTATCTTTATTTTTTGCCAGCTGCCCTACAAATTAGTCTAAAGGTGTTGTCTGATGTAAGATACTGCCATTCTAGGCCTCTGTGGGTTATTTTTATTCCATCTGATGAGTATTTAAAAAAAAATAACTAAAAATTTTAAAAAAAGTTTTTCCACCTGCCCCTATTTATCATTTTAAAAAAAAGAAGGGCAAACAAACAATTTATTTTTTTGGCCTTATCGTGCACCTCTTGAGTAGGTGGTAAAATACCCCAACTGATTGTGACCCGGTTATATATTAAACAAATCAAATATTTTTTTTATTTCTGAATCAGGAATGTCTATATTACAGTACACAATAATATATAGAAAATAGTGAGAAATTGAACTAACGCTTTAACAACCTTATACAAATAGGTAAAGGTTTAAATATTTCATACAACAAGGTGATCAAGATTTTTTTTTTTTTTAATTCAGATGGAATACAATTTCAAATACAAATTATGCCTGACCAGAACATTAAACTATTAAAGCTTTTTGTACTACAAAAGTGGATGACTGAATTGATGGCCAATATTTCATTTCATTCAACAGGATGACAGACCTGCCAACCCTTGGTTCATGAAAATCTGGAGATTTTTTTAAGAATTTAAAAAAAAATCTGGATATTTACCAAAAAATCTGGAGGTTTCCAGAATTAACCAAAATCAACCCTTGGGTCATGAAAATCTGGAAATTTACCAAAAGAAATCTGGAGGTTTCCAGAATTAACCAAAAGATAATGCAAGATGCCCGAAAAGTCACGTCAATACAAATCATTGGCCGTTAGTGGCAACATTTAAATTGGAAATGACTGCTTGTTTATATTTGCGAGCAGACGGCGAATACATTGAATAGTAACAATCAAAATCAAATCAATCAAATTATGCATAAATCGGAGTATTTTTAGGGAGGGGGCGGCCTCTGAAATCGGGTAAAAAATTACATTCGATCGGGAGAACTGAAAATTTGTTTAAATATCAGGTGACAACCGACAGGATCGGGTTAGTTGGCAGGTATGATCGGATGAACAAATACGTTTAATACACAAGACAACACGAGGAACGGTGGTGTATCTATGGTTCTTGGAATAGGGGAGCTGAAGAGGGATGCAAAGGTCAAGTGGGGGAAGCTTCATGATTAGCTCACAAAAAAGTGATATGAGGTTATGTTGAGCATACAGTAATACATTTGTTTCAAATATCTCCAGTGGGAATGTACTGTACCCTAACCCCCTGTGCACCCCCTAGATATACCACGTTGACAGGAAGTTCTACATGACCAAAGTAGACATGTTCCAGTATGAACTCAGCATATATGCTGAATTTTATTTGCCATATTTGTCACTTTGCCATAGGCTCTGTGAATTCTGTGGGTATGTGTCTCAAAATTGTCGCTTTCCGATATCAAACATGTAAAGAACATTCCCTGAACATGAAAAGTGTTGGTCTAACATAGCGTGACTATGGTGAGTTTGAAGGAGAGTTTGACCGAGGCGAGTTCTTTAGGTGGTGAGTTTGTAGGGGGTGGGGGACTGTGTTTAGTATATGGGACTGTCGAGCCGAACTTGTAAGGAGAAAAGTTTTTTAGGGGAAATTTTGGAAGGATATATCTAATCCTAGGCCTACAGCGGGACCTTGTGAGTAGCCTTGCAGCAGCAGCAGCAAATATAGTATAGGCCTAGGCTAGTAGTAGTAGTAAAATTCATAGCAAATCCTAGCCCATTATTGGCTCGCTGAAGCTGTATAGATAGACCTTCTCTAGCCTAGCCTAACCTATAGCGTTACTGGCGTTCCATACATTTTGAGAGCGGCCGTTTTGATCATATATTCCCTTCGGACTTCATGAGACCTGAACAACCAAACCGAGGCCTAGTAGAAGGCTAGGCTAGGGCCTATACACTACAACTAGGCCTAGGCCTAGCTAGTTTGTCTGCTCAGGGAGTTGTTATAGTGATAACAACTCCATGGTCTGCTGACAATTTTGTACATACGAGAGAGAGGCAACTATTTCTCATGACCCTAATAGGAAACACCTATTGATAAACAGAGTAGACTGCACGTCTTACCATGACAAAATTAATTTAGTGGGAGTACACGCAGCGATTAAAAAAATATAATAAAAAGCGTACAAAACGTCAGGTTTGCCAAACTTGTATTTAACCCAGAGTCATCCTTTGCCAGCGTACGACGATCGAGTTGTCATGCATAATACATGTTGGTGCATGGTTGGTGTTACGCCTCACTAAATTCATGAATATTTATCAACCCAGAGTCCTCCTTTGCCAGCGTACGACGATCGAGTTGCATGCATATGTCTGTTGGTGTATGGTTGGTGTTACGCCTCACTAAATCATGAATATTTATCAACTATAGTACTCTACACGCTCGAATGGATAATAGAATAACATATTGGATAGGCAAATTATTATCATTTTTTTAAACTTTTGGTCGTGCGTCGGACGACAGACTAGGACTACGGGACTAGGTCTGTCCGACTGAGTTAAAAATGCTCCCTGCCACCCCTACCACTGCCTGTCATTTAAAATGTAAGCCTACAGTATGTCTATGTATAATTTTATTTCAATACACATTATATATATATATATATATATATATACATATATATATATATATACATATATATATATATAGTACTTATAATCTATATTTAATATGTCTATAATTCATTATTGTCATTATATCGCTACTTCCTCTCCCAAAAACTTTTATAATGCACGTCAGGAAACAAGTTTAAACTTAAAACAGTCCATGAGGATTGTTATTAATATTATTTAATGTCGTGGTGACCGGAATAATACTTTTTTTATTATTAAAATGTTTTTGTATCTGCATGGACCACTGCATTTGCGTTCTCGTGGTGGTGTTATCAAGGTAATTCAACAAAAGGACGCACATCTCGGGACATCAAAGGTTATAACTCTGGCATCGACATTCTAGGCGCACGTGCGTCCCTACACGCTGAACGTCACAAAAACCATAGCAACCAGACCATAAACCGTCAGTGTGCGTGACGATTTACCCACGCGCGTGTTAGTTGTCATGTTAGTCGCGCGTCGTGCGGTGATTACAAAGGCCTAATGATATTTTGCACCAACATTAGACTGAAATAATATATTCTTCATTTCAACATTAATTTTACCAAAATTGTGGTGAATTGTCGTTCATGAGACTCACTTCGCAGAAAAAATTAATAAATGTTCCGTATATACTCAAATGTTCGTCCTCGGCACCTAGATGTGTATAAGAGACAGAATCCTAATTATATAATTAAGATTTGAAACACTTTCGTTTTGGCATTCAGCGTTGCATTTAAATCTTTTTAATTATTTTGTAAATACACAGTAAATTAGGGCTGACTTCTTGAAGCCGAGTTGACATTGTATTGAGTTGCAGGTCAAGCAGCCCGGGCCCATTGGCTAGGGAGGGCCTTCTCTTATTAAACTCGCAGTAACTCACCAGTTTAATATTATTAATTCAGTATTTATTTTTTTCTTTTATTTTTATTTTTAAGACGTCACACGTCTTAGATTCATAATTTCAGTTACCAAACTTTCAGTAATCGAACTATACTGGTTTATAGAACATTGAAAATTATTATTATTATTATTATTATTATTATTATTATTATTATTACTATTGATTTATTTATTTAAAGTCGAACTAAGTGCTGATACGTCACACGTCTTAGATTTATAATGTCAGTTACAATTTTTTTTCTTTTGTGTGTGTGTGTGTGTTACAGCCAGTTCTGTAATAATATACTAATTAATTAGGCTTCATGACAAGCCAAAGCAGCAATCAGAGAGCGAAAACATAGCCCTTTTTGCTGATGAATATTCACTTAGCCCTTTTTGCTGATGAATATTCA